GAAGTAGGATTGAGGGCTTATAACGCTAAATTTCGGTGTTTGCTCTCTGCACTGGGCAGAGTACAGATAGCCCTTATTGTATGTAGCTTTACACTTCAAAAATTATCAGATATATTTAGATCGTCAATTCAATGATGTATGAGCTCATGTGCTTGGATGTACTTAGATCGTTAGTTTAATGATGTATTAGATCATGTACTTCTATATATTTAAGTCGTTAATTCAATGATGTTTTATCTCATGTACTTGGATATTTCGGGCTTAAGACTGATTATGTAAAAATACAAGTAGTAATTGCATAAAGCTTAACTAATATATTGTGAAATACTAATGCCTCAAAGACACAGGAAACGTTAGACAACACTGGATGTAATTACTTTACTTCCTAATGATCATCCTTATTGTATGTTTTTATAAGTAAACTATATTTGATTATGCGGGGGCCGTTTTAGAAAACCTTATTTTATTTGTCCAACTTGTATAAATTTCTCTCGCAGCCCTTAAGTGAAACGCATCTTCAATATCGTATTTTGGAAATAAAAATTATAATAATCTATTTTTCAATAATTCTAGAAACCACTTTCATCTTAACTTACGAAGCAAACATTTTTTAACACTGATGAACTGTCACAAAAGCTCCATTGATATACTAGAATAGAAGAGCGCGTAAAATAAGCATTCATCTTGCTTGACGCGTAAATCGTCTGCAACCTGACGCGTACATCGTCTGCAACCACAAATCTGGTTTTTGCTTGATTTATCGTGATAAATATTTGTCCTTTTTTTAAGGATTTTAGGCTGCGTGCAAATATTTTTGGCTCAAATTCCAGTCTACTTTGCAATTGAAATTAAAATATACTTTCTACAGATGACATGATAAACTAAGCCTAACGAATTTCATACTGTCTCCAATATAAGAGCATAATATATATATATACATAATATCTACTTAGTATAATATCAGTCGATGGAGGTTATTTGTGAAAAATATTAAGCACTGCACAGTTGATATTTTTTTGCATAGAATTAAATACAAGATACAAATTTATTTAGGTATATTTCGATTCTGAGATTAGCACAAGTCGTGTAAAGCCAAAAATAGTGGGCAAAGATAATAAAAGGTTTGTTTGAAGTTAAGCACAAAGCTACGCAATGGGCTATCTGTGTTCTGCTCACCACGGGTATCGAAACCCGGTGTCTAGCGTTGTAAGACCGCAGCAAAAAAGCTGTACCACTTGGGGG